CACAGCATGTATCTCTATCTGAATGTATTTTTTCCTTCATCTATCATGTGTTTAATATCTGCCTTCCTCTCCTAGAAAGTAAGCTCTCCATCCATCTTACCGTCTTAGAAAACAGTGCCTGGCATCAGCAGGTGTTCAGTGCATCTCTGCTGAGCCAGTGAAGGAGCTATTATATTCCTTAAGACAGAGAACATGGAAGTAGGCCATTTGCTGGGGCCCCTTTACCCGTGGGTGTAGGGCAGCTTAAATAATTGTGAAGCCAACCCAGTGGTAACTGAGCTTTAGGAAGTCAGAGTTGACCTGTGCCTGCTTGAACTATGATGGAGAACATGAACTTGGCACCCAAACTATGCATAGGTCACCCAAGGGACACTACCCACTTGTTATTAGGACTGACCTCTGGCTATACAACAGAACTTTTCACAAATTCAGGGACTTAAAAAAATAAGTTATTCAAAATAACAGACTATCCAAGATGCAATTTCTAGGAGAAACATGTACCTCTCAAATGGAAAACTCTGCCCCATTAACTTCCTAAAACGTGAAGGTGGATGGTTACAGAAATTCTATGAATGAAGGTAACCTGTGATACAGAAAGGCTACTGACAGAATCCCCTCGCCCCATTGGAACATGTTGTTTGTATCCTAGTATCATCTGCTTGCATAGCATTCTCTCCCCAGAAATTCAATACCTATAATGGATTTGGAAGTAAAGCAGATGCTATTTTTGCCCTTATTTTATACCCCAGGCCACTGAGACACAGAAAACCACAGGGCAGGTTACTCAAGGAGTAAAACAAGAGCATCTGGCCCGTTACCAACAACTTCATCCAACATACAGGAAATTACCCTTTAGAGTTCAATGCACCAGGCTACTCTCTCCTCTCTTTACTTATATTACTATTTCTGGTCCAGAGGCGTACCTCTGTGCTTGCTTGACCACCTGGGAAATCTGTTTGGTTGTGAGCAAAAAGGACATTTTTGGGCACCTTTTGCTGTGGGTCCATAGTATCCTTGGCTACTCCTTAGATTCTGGCTGGTTTCTTTTCCCATTTCAAAGCCTGTCTTTTATGGGGGGCTGAGATGTAGCACTGTGCCTACTTCTGTTCTTGTCTGAAAAAAAAAACAAAAACAGTCAATAGAAAGAGTGATTCTTTCAGTGTGAGTGTATTTTGCAGGACTTCAGAGAAAAGAAACTACAGTGTTTCTGAACCTCTTCAACATCTACAGCTGGTACCCCTACCCCCAGCATCTTCACCTTTAATCTGCTCTTTGCAAATCAGCATTTTTTGGTTGATCAGGGATCCCCACAGAACTGATGTGGTATGGTATGTAGCAAACCAAAATGAACTTAAAAGAAAATTCAAGCGATGGGCACACATCTAAGAAAATAAACCTGTGTCTCTGGGAGGACAGCAGCCTGAGATGCTCCTTTCCACCCTGGGCTTTCCCGTGCCAAGGATTTTGCCTGTTGTCCTAACAGGCCTTAGGAAGCTGGGGGAGACTATTTATCTGGTCCCTTACCTGATGTGTGGTCTTGAACAAGCTACTTAGTCTCTCTGAGTTGCCATACTCTCATCTGTAAAATGGAGAAAATACCTCTCTTGGAACCCTGTGAGGAACGAAGCTCTATGGAATCCATGGCATCAGATACAGCACATAGCACCGTGCCTACTGCAGTGTGAGCTGTGCTTGGTCGCTCAGTCATGTCCAGCTCTTTGCAACCCTCTGGACTGTAGCCCACCAGGCTCCTCTGACCATTGGATTCTCCAGGCAAGAATACTGGAGTGGGTTGTCATGCCCTCCTCCAGGGGATCTTCCCAACCCAGGGATTGAACCCGGGTCTCCCGCATGGCAGGTGGATTCTTTACCATCTGAGCCAGCAGGGAAGCCCACGAATACTGAAGTGGATAGCCTAACTTCTCCAGGGGCTCTACCTGACTGAGGAATCAAACTGGGGTCTCCTACACTGCAGGCTGAGCTACCAGGGAAGACCAAAGTAAGTGAAATTGTTAGTTGCTGAGTCGAGTCTGCCTCTTTGCAACTTCCTGGCTCCTCTGTCTATGGAATTCTCCAGGCAAGAATACTGGAGTGGGTAGCTGTTCCCTTCTCCAGGGGATCTTCCTGACCCAGGAATCAAACCCAGGTCTCCCACATTGCGGGCAGATTCTTTACCATCTTGAGAAGCCACCAGAGAGACCCCTGGTGCACTGTATACATTTAAAATGAGACCTACAATAGCAGTGGTGTCATGTTTGTTAGCTGAATAGGGAAGAATGCTCGTTCTTCTATGAAAATGTTTGTAAATACATGTACTCGCTTCATGCTCTCACCTATTCCTCTTCTGTTTCTCCCTCTGTTAGCTCTTTTTAAATTGCTCAGGTCCCTGTATTTATGGAGTCTCTTCTGCTAGAAAATCTTACCAGAAAGTTACCAGATAAAAATGAATTTTCATGTTTTCTTCTGGGGCATAGAACTATGGGAGATAGATATCCTTTATATGGAGGAATGGATTGCTCTTGAAAATCAGTGCGCAGGATTTGGGGAAGGTAAAAACCCTCCCTTACATCCTTTAGACTGCAAAGGTGGGTAACCAGCTACTCAGCTCAGAGCAGTCTCCAAGTGCCGTTCACCATCTGCCCCCTGCCTGTCTCCGTAAGTACCACCTCCATCTCCGTGTCCTCTTGCTTCACAGTCCTGGCACATGACAGGCTCGCTCATTTTTTGACTTGGCGTATGCTGTTCCCTCTGCCTAAAATGCCCAACCCTCATCCAGATAATTCCTAGATGTCCTTGAAGATTCAGCCTGGATAGCTTTTCTGAGTTTTCCATGCCATTGTTCCCAAGGCAACCTCTTTGTTAAACTCTGGGAGCGGGTGGAGGAGCAGGATTCATTTTGCAGTATAAGGAGAATGGTGCCCTTTGGAGCAGAACTCTGCACAGTCTGCAGGGCCATCCCTAGGTCTCCCAGGCCCTGTCCATCAGCCCAGCTGTCCTATGTACTCCATTAGCCTTATGATGAAAATGTTTATCCCACTGTTCTAGTCATTGACTTGAAGTCTTTCCTCCTGGATTATGAGTTCCTGGAGGCGGCGCTTGGGTTCTATGTCTGTTTCTCCAGCATGTCACACACCCCATTCTTAACCCAGCCCTCCACTGATAGCTTGATTAGTGACCCCAGAAGAGGACTGGATAGAAGCCTCTTCCAGTTGATGCTTTTGGGTAGTCCCTTAACACTCAATGATAGGTGGCTCACAGTTTAGAAGAAAAGTATGAAAGGTGACAAGGGCTTATATCATCATATATGTTGATAAAGATAGGCTGTTAAGAATCAGATCCTAGGCTAGGACAATGGTGGAGAAAGTTTGGTTTCTAGTCCCGTCTTGAGACTCACTCACATCCCTGTGGCATTCAAATGGAGGCAATGTCTGTATATCCCAAGGTGAGAAGTGCTTTACTAAATTCTCTATTGCTGATTTCTCTCACTTCCTTTGACTCACTGCTTAAAGTTTCAAAGCTTGTTGTACTTCTCACCCTTTTTTATCACCTTAGAGCAGAAATTCCCTCCAGAAGGCCAGGGATACTGCAGCCTATGTTTACAGAATGCTTAATATGGGTTGGATGGAGGCTTGACTGTGCCTGGAGTCATGCTGCTTGAAGCCATTCTGATAGTCATTTAGTTAGAACCATAACTACGCTGAGTTATTGCTGGCTTCATATGTATCATATACTCACAGCAGCACTTGGCTTAGACAAGAAGGTGTGTATTACCTCCACTGTTGCTCATCAGGTCTTTTCATTTCATTATCACTATTGTGCTTGGAAAATGATTTTCAGTCTATAATCCCAGTTAAATTCTTTCAATACAGTCTATATACATCTAAGAGCATAGTTTTCTTTTTTGAAGCAGACTTTGGTGAAACTGATTTCCATTATTTGCTGTGTCTTCCAAGACACATTTTGCTCTAACCAAGAAGGAAGAGATGATTATTTACATGAATGGATGTTGTACCTGGCACACATTTATAACTGACTTGATAGCAGCTGAAGGTCTAGAAGGGATTAGGCTTCTGAAAGGCAACGTTTTAATTTGAACACCAGTTAAAGAGTTCTGCCACATCTCCACTGAATTTGTGGCCCCCAGTTTCCATGTTCTCTCTTACGATACTCCCACCGTGTTTATAGGCAAGTGTAACTAAGTAAAAAGAATTACAAAGGAGACAGTATAATTTCACCAAGGAGACATAAGGGTGAAATGCTGAAAACCACAAAAAGCGGTACCATTTAAATCAGCTCCAAAGTGAATGTTGCTGACTGTCTGGAAGACATCAGGGCCACGGTCTCCATGCATGAGGAGTAACGATATTCTCCTCATAAAGTGTCATGGAAAACTGAGAATGAGGAAGTAATAATTGTGAGACCCAAAGTAAGGGGAAAGTGAGGAAAAGTTGAGAATGACTTCTAAAAGGCAAAGGAAATAATATCAGCAGAGATTTTCCTGTGGCAATTGATGCATTTTCAAGAATGGGGCTAGAGAAAGCAAGGAGATGTTGAGATTAACCTCATCAGATTTATTACTTCATCAGAGTCAAATAAACAATAACTTAGACTTGAGAAAATATGAGACTGTGTGTGAGACTTTGCTGGTTGGAAGAAGACTTTATCATCAAAAAGTATTTAACTGTAAAGGAATCTTCTTCTTTGTGAAGAGGGAATCTTTTATGAAAATTATGAATATTCAGTTTCCTTCACGTTCATCTTTAGTTTATAATCTATAGTATATTTACTAATACCACAGAGGTATGAATATCCATAAACACCTTCCATCAAGGAAAGAAAGGTAGAACGCTTGTGTCAGGAAGCTTTCAGTACTGATGGAAATTCATGCCTATGTTTATTTTGATCAGCACGGGTCATTCTTACAGTCTCACTATGTTTATCTGAGGATGGGAAATGACTAAATAAATCTGAATGACAACTGTACTTTATTGATTTTGCAGAGTTAAGAGGAAGATTGATGAGGCATGGACCCTTGCTTCAGGTTTGGAGGAAAGTAGACTGAATATAGAGATGCCAGACAGCCACGGAGACCCATGGACAGTCCTGCACTCACGCTGATCTGTCAAACTTTAAAATTTCCTAGTAATATGCAACCTTTGCCAAACGAAAAGAAACTAATGCCAAGAAGGCATCCTCTTCAGTATTGGGAATAGACGTGCTCTCAAGACGATGGCTTCGAAGGTCTCCTGTTTATACGTTTTGACCGTGGTGTGCTGGGCCAGCGCTCTCTGGTACTTGAGTGTGACTCGTCCGACTTCCTCCTACACTGGCTCCAAGCCATTCAGTCATCTGACAGTTGCAAGGAAAAACTTCACCTTTGGCAACATAAGAACTCGACCTATAAACCCCCATTCTTTTGAATTTCTGATAAATGAGCCCAACAAATGTGAGAAAAACATTCCTTTCCTCGTCATCCTCATCAGCACCACCCATAAAGAGTTCGATGCCCGCCAGGCGATCCGAGAGACCTGGGGGGACGAGAACAACTTCAAAGGGATCAAGATAGCCACCCTGTTCCTCCTGGGCAAGAACGCCGATCCTGTTCTCAACCAGATGGTGGAGCAAGAGAGCCAAATCTTTCACGACATCATCGTGGAGGACTTCATAGATTCCTACCATAACCTTACCCTCAAAACCTTGATGGGGATGAGATGGGTGGCCACTTTTTGTTCGAAAGCCAAGTATGTCATGAAAACAGACAGTGACATTTTTGTCAACATGGACAACCTTATTTACAAACTATTAAAACCCTCCACCAAGCCACGAAGAAGGTATTTTACTGGCTATGTCATCAATGGAGGGCCCATCCGAGATGTCCGCAGTAAGTGGTATATGCCCAGGGATTTGTACCCTGACAGCAACTACCCACCCTTCTGCTCTGGGACCGGCTATATCTTTTCAGCGGATGTGGCTGAGCTCATTTACAAGACCTCACTCCACACCAGGCTGCTTCACCTGGAGGATGTGTATGTGGGACTGTGTCTTCGAAAGCTGGGCATCCATCCTTTCCAGAACAGTGGCTTCAATCACTGGAAAATGGCCTACAGTTTGTGTAGGTACCGCCGAGTGATCACCGTGCATCAGATCTCTCCAGAGGAAATGCACAGAATCTGGAATGACATGTCGAGCAAGAAACATCTCAGATGTTAGGATTTTTACCAATGTAAATATGTCTTTCTTTTCTTTTTTAAGAGATGAGGCTTAGGGTGTAGGTATTTTACAGGTGTCACCAAGGGAAACGAACTGGTGTAGGGGTTTTATAAAAAGTATTTTTCTTCCCAATCCTAGTTCCTTTTTTGAATCGCCAGTTAAGCTCTGCTCATAGAAATAATACATGGGTTTACAAGGCCAGATTTCATTCTCAGGTCTTAAGGTACTGCATTCATCTCAAAAAGCAACTTCCTAACAAAGGCTAGGATTTACATACCTTGTGTCTGAGATATAAAAAAAAAAAATCTGGTTCTGGGAAACTGGAACTCATGGTAATGTCTTCATATTCTCTCTGCAAAAGTAAATAAGTAAATAACACTTTATCAAAAACAGTTCAGAAGCAGTGCGGTCAGGGAGACTCGCTGGATGTGATGATTCATACTGCGTGTGATGTTACATTGAATTTTTACATATATTGCCATAGAATGTGTACAGTATTTCCAGTTCCACCAAGAAATGAACTTAGTACTGGCAGGGAGGCTGCAGTTAAGTAAATGGAAATTTATACTTGAGAGTCAACTATTCTCTCTGTTTGGAAGACAACTCTTCTTGCTCATCCAAGTATTAAACCTGGTCAGCAGGTGGAATGTATATAAAATGCTACTTAAAAAATAAACAGGAGTTTTTTTTTTTTGCTTTTTCAGAACAAACATTACCTGGTGCCTCCAAGGAGACTTTGCCAAATGTAATTTCACCTGCTTCCCTCCATACAATGTCACTAAATACCTTTTTCCGTTTCTGGCTCAGACAGGCACATGTGTAGAAATAAGTCGGTAGGAGGCCGGAAGGATGGTAAATGACATGGAGGAAAAAATACAAATTTATATGTGCATTATAATTAACATGAGCTTAGCACTGGTGTCAAATGCCCCTTCTGTACATTTGCAAAGCTCATGAAAAAATATTTGAGGAGGGAGCAATGTTACTGAAGGATTTAGGTCTACTGTTGATAGATGCAGTCTCTTTAACATTCGATGCATCAAGTATCTCTAACAGTAATGCTGTTCAGGGGTATTCTGGAAGCTCTGTGATTGAGGATTATGGGAAGGAAGGGTGGGGAAGCTTGAGTTCAGGTTCTGTGGCTGCCATCATATGAATCATGTAAGCCTGCATCCTCACTTTGCTGTGCTTCGATATGCTCATTTATAAAACAGCTGGAAAAAACACCTACCTCACAGGTGCTGTGAGAGCAAATTGCATTTGCTAAATATTTTGGGATCCTTAGTTTTAAAGGTGCTACCTAAAGCAGTGTATCATGTATTATGCTAAATGTTAAAATAACTACATAATTGCCATGATGGTCATCTCTAGTAGTAACATCATCGTAATATAATATCTGCCAAAATACAGATCAAATATAACTATTAGTGCACCTGATTCTTCTAAGACTGACTTTTCATTGAATATGTTAGGTGTTTGGGAAGACTTCGATTTCTCTGTCATTTCTTCTGGTTTCAATGAATAAGTTATTACTTCAGTGCATTGCCTTGATATCCCAGGGTGCTGACAGGAAAGGCAGCTGCCTTTCTTTAGGGAGAAGTCTCTGGCTGGGGGTACATTACCGTCAGTGAAGCACACGCTTTGCAAAATGTATCACATCCACTTAGATCTCAGGAAACATTTGGTCTGAATTCTCAGCAAGATCTTTGAAGCCTGGCAGAGGTAGTCCACCTCTGGCAGAAGAATAGACACTCAGCAAGCCCACACATTGCACATTTCCAGCTTTCATTAAAAAGCTTCTGTTTGCTTCCATTCAAAGAAAGCTCCACAACTGAAAGAGTATACAATTTTTTTTTAACCTGCCCTTTGCAAGCCCCTCTAGGAGTTGCTAGCAAATATGCAGATGAAATGTATAAATGGAAATCATGGCTTATTTCTTGAAAACACTGAATCTCTCATCTCCAGCCCAAGAGAACCTAATAGGAGACAGACCTTCCTGTCCCTTAATACATCTTCATCTCAAGTCAGCAGGACCACTGAGTTTGATTAGAAAATAATGTTAGGTAGCTTGGAGAAAGATGGATCAGCACAAGGCAAGCCACCCTCAAACCCCCAGCTCTCGACAGCTGTGAGTTCCAATCACTGGAAAAGTCTCACAACTTTGAAGTTAGTTGGCCTGTCCATTGTGTAATTGAACCAAGGCCCAGTCTTATACCAACGTCTTGCATTTACCTTATGTTCAGTTGAGCCATCTTCAGCGTTAAGGAACTGCACATTATAAACATCATATGTATACATCTGTGGATCACTTTATAAGTGTGTGTGAGTACATTATGAATAGAGCCCTAGTCTTGAAAAGGAGCAAAAATCAAGAATCATGTCTTAAAGAACTATTTCCTAACTTTTTTATGCTAAGTAGTACCCATGTGACAAACATGTAAATATTCATCAAAAAGCATATGTATATATTTTTAAAGGCATTTTTTTTTTCTTCTTCCCAGCTGTATGTATTGCTAGAATCTGCTTGCTATGTACATTTCCTTCTGCATGGAACTTGGTGAGCCAAAGTCATTTGTCCAGTTTCAATAGCCTAAAGCATGTTTGCCCTTTGTTTTTTGAATGTTCCAAAAATGTTTAAATCAAGTGATCAGGAAGAAGCTCTAATTTTCTACTTTTGCTAATTTTATGACACTGGCCAAATCAGGATTAGTTAACAAATCAGTGATTTGTTAAGCCATTTTTAAACTTATTATTTCTTTGACATAAAATAGTGTTTCAGACAGCATTTTACCAGAAGTCAATTCAGACAATTTTAGGAAAACCTTCTGACTATCCCCCTACTTGTTTTGTTCATTATATACCAGATAACAAAAGGTATCAATACTTCATGTCTATACTCTTAAATTTTCATTTAAAATTTTATTTTGGGGGAAAAAAATCGATGCTAATGTCTAAGCCCATCTGTCATGAGGAAGATTATGGTTCCATAAAGCTGATTTTTTTAGACCATTGGGACAAATAAACAGAAGCAGAACATACTTTCCACTTGGCTTCTTTTCTGAAAGAATCTCTTTGGCGAGATGTGATTACTGGAATTAGCTGATGTCCTGTTGTCTTGTTAACCTTCCTCACAACCTCAAAATCAGTGACAGTTCAAATCACTTGGAGCTTGTGCACAAGAGCCCGTAGCAACTTGATAGTCAACTGAGAGATGGCTTGGTTTAGTAGGCTATGGACTACTGCAGGATTTAGGAAACTACTATCCTCCTTGCCCCTTGGCAGCATCACATAAGTCTCTGTGTTAAATTGTAATGGTTGAACATGCCAACAAATTTGAATCCAAAGAGCATTATGTTGATAATGTGCAGTGAATCAGGACATGTCAAATCCAAGGCTTAAGTGTCATCCTTACATTTCACACACATGTATCCTTTGGAATATTGCATACTCTTAAAAGTTTGATGAGACTGGAAAAATACTAGTCAGGCATTCTTTACAGCTAACAAGTAGATGCTGATTGCTGATACCTGACATTGCAAGCCAGAGACTAATATCTCTTTAAGAGGTAAAATTTCCTTTTTATTATCAATCTGATCTAGCCAAATAGGTCTTCACTTTTTAATTGACATTAAACTTTGGATCTACTAACCTGCACCCCAAAGTTCAAAAGGTAAAGTCTACCAGGTGAGTTGAGATGTGAGTAGAACATAAAAACATGAAATAAGACTTATATTCAATGTGACTTTTAAAAAATTTTATAATTGGAGTATAATTGCTTCCCAGTGCTGTGTTAGTTTCTGCTATACAACAAAGTAACTCAGCTGTATGTGTACGTACATGTCTTTCCTCTTGAACCGCCCTCCCACCTCTGCAGGTCATCACAGAGCACCAAGCTGAGCTTCCTGTGCTTCACGGCAGCTTCTCACTCGCTAGCTATTTCACACATGGTAATATATATACACACGTATACATACGTGTCAATGCTACTGTCTCAATTCATCCCCCCACCTCTTCCCACTCTGTGTCCCCATGTCCATTCTCTACATTTGTGTCTCTATTCCTGCCCTGCAAATAGCGGTACATATATACAGTGAAATATTACTCAGCCATAAAAAGGAATGAAATTGGATCATGTGTAGTGGTGTAGATAGACCTAGAATCTGTCACACAGAGTGAAGTCAGAAAAACAAATACCATATATTAACAAATACATGTGGAATCAATGTGACTTTTTACAAGGACCAACATCAAGAGCAGTGCTCTGAAAGTATGGTCTCAGACTGGGAGCATCAGTGACAAATGAGAATTTGTTAGAGATGCCAATTCTTGAGCTCCTCCAGAAAAGTGGGGGTGTGTCTCAGCATTACATTTTAATAAGCCCTTTAGGTGATTCTCTTGCACCCTAAAGTTGAGAACATTGATCAGGAGTAGAGATTGGCAAGCTACACTCTGAACCACAGCTGGCTAAGAATGGATTCACAGTGATCATTTGCAATGACTCATCAATAGGAGAAACTAACATTGAACCCCAACTAAGCAAAATATCTCAACAGGAAGATTTCCACTTTTCTCGTTAGTAGATGGGTATTGCAAAAAATATTTAAAATATACTTGATCGTTATTTTATTATGTTTTCAAACCATCAATACACAAACTGAAAAAAATTGTTGCTTGTTATATAAGTACTTTCCTGTATCTTCAATTTTGCCTCGTGGTCTACAAAGCTTAAAATATTTATTATCTGGCTCTTTACAGGAAAAGTTTGCCAACCTCTGACTTAGAGAAAGAGAAAAACATCTGAAAAAGGTGCAGCATATGAAATTCCTCCACTTGTCAATGAAAAGTCTCATCAGTAAAGCATCCTGGGACTGTCTCCATGCAGCCAGGGAAATGACAATGGAATCGTAATAATGAATTGCATTAAAAACCGACAGCTGCATGTATTTTTGAAAATATTTCATTTTTCTCAAAGTGATTTTTAAAACTGATAAGAGCTTGATTCTAATTGTAACAATTATCAAAGCTTAATTAATATATTGCTTAAAGATGTGTGGGTAGTAGACCTAAGAGGATGGGTTTCATATAGCTCGATTATCATAATTACAAGCATTCTGTTTTCTCATTTACTTAATTGATTGTCATAGCTTTCCAGATGAATTCATGCTGCTGGAAGAGAATTGAATACATCTTTGAAAGAAAGGAAAAAACAGAAATGAGGCTATTTAGAAAAGTGAGGTATCTCAGAGTATAATCCACGGTGAGCATGAAAAATTGCCCTCGATAATATCTCCTTACCTCTTTGGTTAAAAGAGGCTTTTTTGTGAAATGAAAAAGAAATGAATGAAAAAGCATTATTGATTCAACTGCATCTATAATAACACAGGCTCCACTGTCTCTTCAGCCAGAGGTGCCTAGCGCTCAAGAAAAATTTTCCATTTAGTTTTCCTTATAGAATCTATTAGTTTGGTACATTATGTTGACTATTTGTTATGCCTTTTGCAATGACCTCAGTCCTCACCTGGAGGGAGCATGGCATGAGAGGTGATTTATTCTCTCTCTGAGGTTTATTCCAGAGCATTTCCTCAGCAGTGGCTGCCGGATATGGCAGGCTGGGCAGACTTACGTGTGGGGGTTTTGTGATGAAGACTATTTTTCAGCAGAGACAAGGATGACCCCACCAAGCATGAGGAAAAAGAAAACATTAGAGACGTTCTCCCATTGCAAAGCTTTAAATTTTCAGCTCCCATTCCTGTTTTGTCATTATCTTTGTTATTGTTTATTCCTAACAATAACCCCCATGAGGTAGATGCTGGCTCAGCTGACAGGTTAGGAAGCTGAGACAACAGACTTTTATAATTTCCAGGGTGAACTCAGGTCCTCTGGCTCTCAGGGCCATGTTCTTAATATAGCTGCCTCTCACGGGTAAGAACATATACGACCATGCCCACCCATGTCCTATGCCACACGATGTCATTATTTTAATTTTTAAATTTATTTTCAGATTGGAACTTCCCCCACATTCTTATTGTGGGGGAAGTATATAATTTACATACTTGACTTTTTAAAGTATACAGTTCTATAAATTTTGATTTATATATGCATATACTTATATATGCATATATGAGTTATAACTGCATATATTCCAGTAACGACCGTCATAAACAAGATACAGGACAGTTCCATTACTTACCCACTAAGTTCTCTCACAGCTCTTTGTAATCAGTAGCCTTCTCTACCCTGTGTCTATCACCGATCTATTTGCAAATTTCTGTTTTACATGAGATTTGCATTTAATTCAGTAGCCACCATATATATGTTTAATGTTTGTTGTCAATCATGCTTTTTTCTAAAGTAACAAGCTTGTCAGTTCACATTCTGTTGTGTGTCTACTTGATTTTCTTGTTCTTTTGTTTTGCTTTGCTTACTTTTTTGCTTTAGAAAAAGGTTCTTTGAGTAACCCATTATGACAACTTAGTATAAAGACAAGGAGAAATCTGTAGAGAAAGAGAATAGAAAAAGGAAAAAAGATCTTAAGATAATAGTTAAACAACATGAACGTACAGGTAAAAGATTCAGGAATTTTGAAATAAACCACCATTGATTCGATAATACCCAAATCTAGTGAATATTAATAAGGTGCAAGTCAAAAATCTATAGCCCCACTCACTCTGATCTAGCCCAACTCACTGGGAACTTTAATAGAGCTTCTCTCCTTCAGAGCTCACACACATTTCTGTGAAGTGGAAAGGACGATCTATAAGTTCAATTATCCTTTTTTCCCTTTTAGAAGTAGAGGATCCTCTGGAGAGGCATCCATCACTCGCAAGCTCATTAAAAAGGCAAGCCCTCTCTGCCCTCTGGGATTTGTCTCCAACCACACTCATGAACTCTGCTACTGTACCTGCCTGTGATTCCTTTCTGTGGTTTTCTTCAACGTATGTTAGTTCACATTTCCTTTAGGAAAAGGTAACTTCACCACTATAAGCTTCTCTTCAAGCTTTATCGACAGAAATGTCTGAGTTAACTTGCAAAGCACACTATTGATAACACTATGCCCCTCTATCGGGGAGGCCATTCAAACTAAAGGCAGCATTGCTGGGGGAAGGAAGCAGCAGGCTGGAGCAAGACCAGCATGGAGGACGTGCATGTTCTACCGCAGTGCTTCTCAGACTGTAACGTGCCTGCTGATTACCTGCGAGCCTTGCTAAAGTGCAGGTTAATAGCTCAGGGTATGACCCACGGTTCTTGTTTTCTTGGAAGCTCTCAGTGCTGATGCCGCATGTTCTTGGAACATGCATGGACTGTCTTCTTCCATGTCAGTCCATGTTCCATGGACTGTCCTTGGACCAGCCAGGCTACAGGTCTCCTGTTACTGAAATATGGAGACAACAGGAGCAGAAGGAAAGCATCAGAGAGAGAAACATTTGCCACCAGTGACCCCAAACAGGCATAAATGTAGCCTAACCTTGGACTATGGCTATTCAGTTTAGTAATCTGACCTCTTGAGGAGGAACAATGTGTAGTGTGGGAAAAAGGAAGTTTTTTGGCATGAAATCAGAAAGTAGGTGGTCCCTCCTAAATAAGGAATCCAGTCTTTATTATGGGTACCACTTTGGAGATGAGAAATCCAAGAGTCAAAGTAAGTGACTTGTCCAGTGTCAAAAATTGATAACCAGAAATATAGTATTCAAACTCTATGTCTTTTGACTGGAGTCCAAATGCTTTTTTCCATTATATTAGTCTTCTTGATTCCATTTGCAATTTTGGAAACAAAGGAGGGGAAAATGCTGGTTTTAAATGTTAGAAGTAGCATTATATCCAAGACCAAAAGGGTAGTCAGTGCTAAAAGTGCTTAAAAGTCAGCATAGGAAAAAAAAACAAAACACATTCCAGAGTCCAGACACGCAGCTCAAAGAGTATGGAGATACCTGGG